CTTTTCACATGCATATAATCCTTATATGAAGTAAAAGTATATTTTATCAATAAGCCTTATAGTTATCCAACTATCATGTCATTATCCCTACAACACATAAACATACATAATTTATTCCAAATATGTATATCATGCTCCCTTCCTTTATAGACCATAGTGTTCTCGCTTTAGGCATTATTATTCATTAATAATCCATACAAAACATATTTAATTACCTTAGGTAATCTTATGAAATCAACTCACTAATTATAAGCAATATAGTCATCCATCCTCACCTCGAATGAGCTTTAAGAAGTTCTACCCTTTCTTGGTTGAACTCCGGCGAAACTCCGGCGAACTCCGGTGAAGCTCCGGCGACAACTAGGAACACCTCAGTCAAGCTCCGTAATTCTTCACATTTTTCCTATCCTTTTCCTTTCTTATGCTTCTTCTTTGAACCACCTTGGCTTGAGCTCGTTTTTGGATGATAAAAATGGAGTATTGCAAAGTTTCTCCCCTTAGATGATGGCTTCGTCGAAATGATGAGGGTGGGTGTGATTGAGAATGCCTTTTTGGCATTTCTCTCAATAATACATAAAGGAGGTCCTACCCCATTTAATACCTTGCCTCTTCATTCATTTGATTTCTTGCATCTAGTGATTTGTGCGGCTCATCTTTGCTAAATGCAAGACTAAAAACGTGGGTTGGCCCCCACCCATGTGGAAGGTCATCCCAATATGTCTCAAAGTGTATACTTGGTCCCGAAAGTTGTATTTTCTGGACAGTTTTAATTATATTTTATTTTATCGGGTCAACATAGCACTTGGGTCTCCCAAACATTTTTACCAACTCGGTTGGCCCAAATAGGAACGACCCATTAACCCCTGAGGATCACCAGACGAACGTCCCTAAAAGCCCCAACAGTCTGGGGACAAATACCCTCAGAGTGGTCAAATGCAGTGACGACGTTCGTCTCCTGCATCGAAATGGCAGTAAGCGGTGACGACGTACGGCCTCCTCTCATGGGGTAACTAATCAGGCAAACATCGCATCAAGAGACGTACGCCAGGAGACACAGTGCCTCAGCAACTTGGAAGGCACCACGAGACACCAGACAGCCAATGCCTGGGGACGAACGTCGCCACCCATTAGCGGGAAACCATGCCAAGGAAGTCACTGTCACGTCAGGAGCATCGGCTAAGGGCAACACGAACGTCTCCAAGGACTAGGGCAGTTGGAGATGCTTTCCCCTACTTCAGTGGATGTACGTCCCCAACGAGCCAGCAAGGCCCAATGGCAATACAAACGTCTCCAAGGACTAAGGCAGCTGGAGATGCTCCCCCTACTTCAGGGGACGTACATCCCTAACAGGTCAGCAAGGCTCAATTGCAAGACGTATGTACAGAACCTTGGCCTTGGGAGCAAGCAGGACACTTGAGACAAGATTGTGGGGATGATCGTCCCCACTACTTTGCAGGAAAAATCAAATACATATTGCATTTTAAATTCAAGTACATCCGGGTGCGGTGTCACATCATTAGATCAAGTTTGTTACCTTTCTCTGCTTAAATTTCTATTCGACTATCACATATTGTCTTTCTCTCCATCATTTTCTATTCGTCAGATTCCTTTTAATTCTATCCATACTTTTTCGTTTGTTCACGTTTGTTCAGGTTCATGCTCATTTAGGTAATCTTAATTTTTATTTTATTTTATGCACTTACATCAAATAAGGCAAAACAAGTTTGAATGTGCTTTTTAGAGAAAGATAAATTGTTTGAACGTGCAAATTGATGTAGGCAGTGGCGGAACTAGAGAAAAAATTAAGCAGGGGCACAATCACATAACTGGCGGCTGGTGGAGTGGCGATCCGTGTGGCACCGTGGCGGTTTGACCGGCGTATGGCGGGCCTGACTGCGAGTCTGCGACGGTGCGACACTGGTGGTCTGTGGAGCGGCGAACACTACAAAAATACCACGGGATTGACATTGATTTTGGCAGGGATTAGACAGGGATTTTGGCAGGAAAATGCCAAATTCATGCCAAAAACACTTTGGCACGAGCTATTTGGCATGAAAAATGGGTAAGTTCGTGCCAATCCCGTAATTTTTTTGTAGTGGGAAGGGTTGCTGAATTGTTGAAGCCAGGTGGGAAATGGGAAGTGCGGAACTTCCTTTTGTTTGCATATGAGATACCACACAGTGCCAAACAACTTCCTTTGGGCTGCAGTAGTTCCAGGCTTTGGGCTTCACACGGTTGGCCCTTATTTTCCCCAAGCAACATCAAAACGACGTCGTCCAGTTTAATGAAAAAAGTGGTCTTCCTTTTCCCGGCAGCAGCGCTGGACGAACAACACAGCTCCAAACCCAGTTCGCCGGAAACTTCAACGGACACCCCCGGCCCCGACGGCCCCCAAAACCCCTATATATACCCTACCTCCGGCGGCCGAAGCAGGGGCACCGGCCCCCCTGGCCCCCCTGGCAGTTCCGCCCCTGGATGTAGGTACAAACATAAGCTTTGTAGAAGAGCTTATTAGAAATGTTAAGCAATTTTGTATGTGTTAAGTTAAATTTATGAATCTCTGTTTTTTATATTTTTTATGCACCCAAATTTTAAGTTGGAAATCTGGAATGTTTAGACTTGAAATGTTGCTTCCTATTGGCTTCCAAAAGTGTCTATGTTATTGCTTGATGCTTTTCCCTTGAGAGGCCAACTATGATACTTTACTAGATTGACAATATTAGAGAACTATTTGGACATAAGGTGGATCTTGGTCTCATAAAGAAGAACCCTATATGTCGCCTTGGTCTTGAGTAAAAGGATTCCACTATTTTAACTGCTCTTTAATTTTTTGAAAATATTAAAAAATTCATATATAATTTTTTTGTGACTCTTACATTTTTTATTTACATAATTCATACTTTTATTTTTTTTCCTAACTTTTGCAGTTTTTTGCATGTTAGATATTTTAATTTTCATATTCTTGATTTTCAACTTTTTAAAATTTTCCTCTCTTTATAGCTTAGATTAATTTTCTGTTTTTAATTTAAAATTTTTTATTTAAAACTTGATTTAGAAGTTTCAACTTTTCATTTTTATTATGCATTCATTGAATTGTTTCATGTTCGATTTTTTAGGGTTTCTTTCATTTTTATTTAGATTTAAATTTTAGTGTTTCAATTCCTAATTATTATCATATTTTAAATTTTAATGAAGTTTAACACTTGTATATAAAAACAAAAAACTCAGTAATTGTCATACAGAGTATTTAAGAAAGTGGATTAACTTTAGAGCTTCGACCTTATAAAATCTATGTCATACATATTTTAGCACGTACAGTTGTTAGGATGGAGCTTCGGCCATTATTTTTCCAAGTAAGTGAGTTTTGTATGAGGAGGTCTATTTCTGAAAAGAAGTTTAGCAAGTCTATTTTTGAAAAGGGAATTGAAAAGTGAAAAAAGTGATATTATTTCTACTTTTTTGTCTAAAAAAGTAACTTCAGTCCAAAAATCAGGACAATCATGGTTTCATTCTAGTCCAGAACTACGACTTGTCTAAGCATATTATAAAAATAGCTACACAAACATAAATATCAATGTCATTAAAATCAAGGAAATTGTGTCTTTTTGTAACTTCTTTATTTTCACTCTTGGAACATTGAAAAATACATGTTAATTAAAAGCTTGAATTTTTAACACCACTTTCTTACAATCCACGTGCCATCTGTGCCAGATGTATTCCTAAATATATAAAGGCTTCTGGTTTTTATATGTGCGCCAAGGAGAATAGTTTAAAACAGATGGCGATGAAAGGTGCGATTTTATTGGAGAGGGGGTTTGCCTCTCTTTCAAAGCTGCGATAAGCTCTCAAGAAGATTCAACCATGTTATTTTCTGAGCGAAAATAGGCTTCTTAGCCTCTTACCAACCAGCAACCGGATTAGAGCAGCCAGAACAGGAAGAGTTGTGACCATTGCAACATAGGCAAGAACGCAAATTGAACCATTGCTCCACCGTGATATCTGATTTAAACATTTCCAAACCAGAACAACCTTTACATTGTCCTTTTCATTACAGCGGTGACAAGATGAAAGAGCATGGTAGAACAAGATTGTCATCGCCGTCCTAGTTTCTAGATCTGAGGCAAAGATCCTGGCAGCTAGGATTTAGGTCCTTGATTTTCATATCAAGTCGATAGCGATGATGCCAACCCTATGGTTTCACGTGGCTGTGCTATGGCTAGGTTTCACCTATGCAAATGGGGCGCGAAGGTGGTTCAAAAGCAGGAGCGGAGCATGGGGGCACGCTGTTGAGAAGCGATTGTGCAGGGGGGCAGGGTGTGGTGGGGTTGAGGGTTGGGGTGTGGTGGGGTTAGGCGCTGGGGTGTGGTGGGGTTGGGGGCTGGGGTGTGGTGGGTTGGGGGCTGGGGTGTGGTGGGGTTGGGGGCTGGGGTGTGGTGGGGTCGGAGAGGCGGCTAGTAGGGTCATAGTTATTGTGGTAGCAGTCACCAGTGATGGTTTTGCTAGTGGCGATTAACGAGTGTGTTAGGCCGAGTTCATGTGTGGTGGACCTGGTGGTTGGGAAGCAATTTAGGTTCCTCGTTCATGCTCATTGATGCATTTTGTCATAATTTGAACAAACAGTTGTACAACAAAGGAATAATAATATCGTATTTTTTGATCATGAACAAAGCATACACCATCCCTATTTATAGCCTACTGCCGAGAATGTCCAAGAAAAACCTGAACAGGCCATCCCGCTAATGTCCATGAGACAGGAGAATGTCCAAGAAAAACCAACCAACAATGAGACAGAAAAATGTCCATGAGACAGGAGAATGTGGACGAATACCCAAAAAAATGTCCATTGATATTTATGTTTTTGTAGCTATTTTTATAATTTGCTTAGACAAGTCGTAGTTCTGGCTTAGAATGGAACCATGATTGTCCTAATTTTTGGACTAAAGCTGTTTTTTGGGAATTTTTCACAAATAGACAAAAAAGTAAAAATAATATCACTTTTTTCACTTTTCAATTCCCTTTTCAAAAATAGACTTGCTAAACTTCTTTTCAGAAATAGACCTCCTCATACAAAACTCACTTACTTAGAAAAATAATGGCGGAAGCTCCATCCTAACAACTGTACGTGCTAAAATATGTATGACATAGATTTTATAAGGCCGAAGCTCTTTTAAGATGGAACCCCGAATCATACCCGTACATAGTAAAACATTACAGTGAACTTAAACTTGATAGGTGTTTGGAATGCAAATTAATGGGAATTAAGTTTCAACCACACCAAGAACTATAAAATCCACAATTACGTTTTCTAAAACACATATAAATTGTATAAATAAGATTGCTTATGTTTTATTATTAAATTAAATACTCGGTAAGACTTATTTGATCCTGTTGAAAATATAAATGGCATACTATTAATTAAGTTGATGAGCCGCCGCTACCATGTTTGTCGGGGCAGAAAGTAAACCAATACTTGTCTGACCAGCAGTTGACCGCCGGAGAAGGCCTATCATAGGCGTAGCTAACGTAGGAGGGGCATGCATTCTTAAAAATCTTCGAGTACAACGTCGGCTTGCATTTGTCGGGACTTCCGTACTCGTTCCTGCAACAAAACGGGTCGGCGTTGAAAGCCAAGCACGCGCTTTTGCACGCCACGACTTTGCCGGCGTTGTTCAGGACTCGGAGCTCCGGCGGGCAGACGGAAGCATCATTCAGGTTCTTGGAACACCCGCCGATGTAGCATTCCGGCGAAGACCGAGTCGTTGAAACGGAGACGGGCAGGTTGTATCCGTCCACCAAGCTCACGTCGTAGGAACTGGGCCTGCCCTGGTCAACCTACTCGATCAAAAACATAAAAAATCATGTTTACTTGGTATCATCCATATTTTGGATATTTTAAATTATTTTATCCTTTTAATATGATTAATCAGGTCTCATTTTAGGAATAAAGCATACTTACTCATAGATTTTGAACTTTGTTCATGTTATAGAGTGCTTTGACCAATTACATAAAGGTGCTTGCTATGGTACCCAACAAAAATAGGAGGGTACCATACCTAGGATGCATTTCATTGGCGCAACTCAAAGTTTTACATTTTATTTGCATTTAAATTATTCAATTGAAATTTTTTTATTAGTCCATATCATCAAGGTACCATAGAAATTGCCTTACATAAAATAGGTGGTTCATATAGAATTTCATAACCATAGATTCTATGGTACCGTTAAGGTACATACATTTGTCCACATGGATCAATCATAATGTTGCAGTTGAATTATTTAAATGTAAATTCAAAATGATATAATGATTTGAACCAATCAAGTGAGTGGTAGATACGGTACCCCATTTTTTAAATGTGTACCGGAGTTGTCACCTTTCATAATATCTTTTCTAGACAATTTTTACTCAAATTAAAGCAGACTTCATCTTCTATTTCAAGGGTGCTACATGCCTACATCAAAATCTCATTGTTGCCAATAATCACGTTTTCGATGGATACAGATTATATGAGATCAGACTTGACTAGATTTAAAGAGTCAAAAGACAAGACGAATCAATTTGGGGGCATATTGATTAGTTACCTGTAATGTTATCTCCACCAATGTAGCTGGCGGGAGACCAATGCTTCCACAACATTCGAGTTTTCCATCGCAATCACCAGTCTCACATGAAGTTCTGTGGTAGGAGTCAAAATCGCATCCCGTTCTTGCCCATACACGGCCGCTCCAATCCTCGGGCACTTGGAAGCTTCTAGTTTTTCCAGACGGAAGATAGAAGCCGCCATTTGCCACTACAGGATGCCCGACGTTGGGTGCGGTTGCGGGCCATATATTAAATGGGCATTTGTTAGTAACGAAGAAAGTACACGATTCTACGCATGCATATGATATAAAATGAGTTATTATTAGCGTAACAAACAGGACATAAGTCTGATATGGTTTTGATAATCCCATTTTGAAATGCAATAACAATTCGATTACAGGTTTCTTACTTTCTTGTCGATCCAATGTAGCTTTGATTTATATAACAACGAGGTTGAACTTTTGATGGAGATGGGCAGACGGGGAGCACTTAACTTCAATAAGTAGTACTTGGATGTTACTTCAAGTTAAAGAAGTGTGTGACACTTCTAGAAATCTTTAATTAGTTCGAAAGTAAGAAAACAGCTAAGCTTGATCGAAGGCATTTATGTACTTCATCCTCCCCTAATCGGACACATAATTTGAAAGATAAGAGAAACTCTCAAAAGAAAATGAATTAAACTGCGATAAACACTCGAGCATGAATCAAGAAAATGGTACGAATAAGGAAAGAAACTAAGGAAGTTTGATAGGCTGAAATTGCATGTAAAAATTGTTTCCCTAATTTGAATTACAACCTGCCTTTTATAGACGTATACAAATCGCATTAATTGCATGACCGTTACTCTTACTGGCTGCTAGGTCGGCCTGACTGACAGGCCTGACGCTTTGAGCTCCCTCTCTGTCGGGCTGGTAGGCAGGCTCCCTTCTGGCTGGTAGGCGGGCTCCAAGCTTGGGCTTGGACTCACGGGTCAAAGTTCAGGCTTGGGTGGAATATGCTCCGGGCCTAGTTCCGTAACTCCATGTTGATCCAAAATATGATGCTCATAGGCTTTTAGGAAGCTGCGTTAGACACTCAAACAAGAATTAGAAAAGTAGTACAAAAATGGAAAGTTGCTAGAAATAGTGTACCTTTATTTGGAATTTGGCTTACCTTTTATAGACATTTAAAAAATGTAACCGTTATCAATAATAATGAGTAATTAATTACAACATTAATACGGAATTAAATACATAATTAAATAGTACATTAATTAATTGCTTGACCGTTACTCTTCTTGGTTGTCAGGTCGGCCGGCTTGAGCTTGAGCCTGGTGGCTCAAGTCGTGAGCTTGGACTCACAGTCCAAGTTCAGGGCTTAGACCGATTAGGCTCTGGGCCTAGTCCCATAACCCCATCAGTGACTAAGCGTGTTTCTATTTCTAATTATAATATCAATATAAATGATTTCTAATAAAAAGAATTGGATTTTAGTACTCCAAATACGTTTGCAACAACATGATGTACTCTTAAACGAGCCTAATTTGACATAAATGGACTTGGAATTAGAGTAAAATGCATAATTGGTCCTTGAACTATCATGACCATATCGTTTTGGTCCTCGAACTATTAAATCTATCATTTTAGTCCTTAATCTATTTCATTTATATTAATCGAGTCCTTCCGTTAAATTTGTTGTTAATTTGACGGAAGCTAATTAATGTATTAACATCTCATAATTTTAAACATTTTGGAATAATACAATCATTCTAGTTTTTTTAAATATACATATATGTACACATACACATATAAAAAAATATAAATAAATAATATAAAATCAAATGTACGGCCTAAATAATACGTAGTATATAAGAGAGAATCAAATAATCAATTATATACATATGAGCAGATAAAATTAAATAAGAAAACGATGTATATTATTTAAGTCATACACTTGATTTTATATTATTTATTTAATTATTTAAATAAATGAGAAGGATAAGGAAGGTCAAACCATAATCTCATTGGCAAAACACTCTCGGAGACTCAAGAGAACCAAGAGAGGTCGGGTGACACTACGGCCGAAAAGATAGTGGATGAAGAGGCCTTCCAAGAGGCCATCGACCCCACCGCGGACCTTCACAACAAGCTCAACGTCAATGCTCAAGACAACCGCATCGGGCGATGTGATTTTTAGGAAATGAGTAGGATGTTAGAGTTTTATAAGAGTATATTCTGGTAAAAAAATGTAAGCACAAATTAGTCCATAAAATTTATTTATTTATTTATTTTATTAAATATTACGAATTTAAATACGGAGGATTGTTTTTTTTTTTGGGGGGGGGGGGGGGGGGGGGGCTAATGAGGTGATGTATTGAGAAAGTGAATGAGTTTTAGTCATACCTAGTTTTAATTTTTTTTCTTAATATAATTAATAATAATAACAATCACCCTTGTTTTCGTATTTAATTTTATCTGCTCATATGTATATAATTGATTCTTTGATTCTCTCTTATATACTCCCTCAGTCTCTTAAAACTTTGTCAATTTTCCTTTTTTGGATGTCCCACTAACTTTGTCACTTTCTCTTTTAAGTAAAGAATTTGTGGTTCTGGTTAATTCTCTCTCCTCTACACAAACCTCAATCACACTGTTTTTACTTTATTAATCCCCGTGCCAGTCAAACTTGGCAAAGTTTTAAGGGACGGAGGGAGTACTACGTACTATTTAGGCCGTGCATTTGATTTTATATTATTTATTTATAATTTTTAATTCTTTATAAGTGTATGTGTACATATATGTATGTATATTGTTGAATACGGTTGTTTTGTTGATGACTAAACCATACAGGGGAACGACGGATAAAACCGCTCCCAGTTCCTTGAGTAACAGGAACGAATGAATATTATTAATTTGATTGACTAACCATGCAGGAGAAACAAAAACACAATCCATGATGTGATTTGAGTTAAATTGCACCTACTTACTCGTTATTGGCATGATTTCCTTATATAAGTAATTATTCTCTTTCCACGATTGATATAGCTTAAAGTATGGTGCGTAAAATATTCCAAAGCTACACGGTTGTGATAGAATAAAATCTGGTTGAAATATATTTCATATCTAAATGAGTTGATTGCTTATGTTGAGAAAAATATTCTTACCTTCTTGAGTATTGACCAAAGTCTACCTTATTCGGTAATTAATTGATTGAATCAAAAAAGATGCACAAGATATTTTGTATCTAGTCCAGGGCCGATATACATAATGGTTGATCCGGCTACCATAAACATTGAGCTCGAATATGGGAAGCATTATAAAGAAGGAAAGCAATTCAAAATATGGGGGCAAGTCCCAAGATTAGAAGATCAACTATTCAAGGAAGGATGCTTAAACGGTCTGCCCAAGACAGCCTATATAAATGAAGAAGCCAAAGAGAAATGGAGTGTGCTTGACCAAGCTTCTATTGAGAAATATACACGAGAATATTTACTAAGTCCAAGGCACCTGAACCTGCTCTCGGAGTTTCAAACAGAGTTTCCTTTTCCCTTCTTCTCATTGTAATTGGGGTTTTTGAGGATTGACTAAGTGTAGCATCCTCGGGTTGGTTAGTGTGTTGTGAGAGCTTTGTTGTAAAGCTGAGAGGCTCTCTACTCACAAGGTAGAGAAGCATAACTCTTCCTAGAGATGATAGAGTTGGGGTGGCTCAAGGGTAGACTATGAGAGTTTCCCTTGTAATCATTCAAAGGCTTTTTAGTGAAGTTGTTCAAATTCCTCCGAGGGAGGTTGAGGTTTTTTTAATCCCTTTGAGCCAAGGGATTTTTCCTCGTTAAATCCTTGTGCACTTTATTATTTCGTAATTCCCTGGACCCCACACTAGAACTGTGCGAAAAACTGCCACGGTTCCACACACACACAATTCACCCCCCTCTTGTGTTGCTAACCGTTTCATCATATATATATATATATATATATATATTAATTTACTTAAGTCTCTTTCCCGCTCGTGACTAGGGAGATTTGCGTAAATACTGGGCTCTATATCACAGAATCCTCAACACAGGACTTCTCCCTGAAGTTGGAGTCTCTATTGCAGCTCTCTTTTCTTCTCTAATTTCTTCGATTTCACTTCTATCTGTATCGGCCTCAGTGTTTCTCCGTTTCATCTGGTGCACACCCACACCTTCCATTCCTACGAAAGGTGCTTCTCCTCTTCTCCAGAGAACGCCAACATCTTCGAAAGAACACCCTAGCCACTCAACTGCTTCTTCTTCATGCAGATAGAAAGAAGCTTCGACTGTTTGAAAAAATTTCAGACTCCTATTCATTGAATAATTCTTTATCCAATGCGTTTAAAGAATTCAGCAGGTCTTCCATTCATTAAGGTATGGCTGAAACTATAAATTGATAGTCAAGCAATTTCAATATATAGCGAACTGCTAATGTGTGCTAACATAAGGTATTGAGTTATTCAAATTATCGTTTATAGAATGAGATGTGTTGTACTGTTGTTTGTGTTTGTCTCTACTAAGCATGTGTTCTATAAATTTTCTTCATTTTCGTAATTTTTTCAAATGACTATTTCAGCTTATTGATGTTTATTGCAATTGACCATATGTACAACACCTATATTTGGGAAAACTTTTTTTTTTAGTTATGGCCGGAATGATATATTACCTCAATTATTCCCATAAAGAATCATGTATTTGAAAAAAATCCAAAGGAATAAGCAGTAAGGATGTTTTTACTTGGACTATAATTTGCTGGTCTGGTCTGGTCTGGTTTGGTCTGGTCTGGTTTGGTCTGAAATTTTATTTTTATATTTTTTGCATAAAGATTTTATTTTTTATATATATTATAATCCATAAATAATTATATTTTATTCATTTATAATTACAAATAATAATAACAACAACAACAACAACAACAACAATAATAATAATAATAATAATAATAATAATTAGGGGTGTGCACTATCCGGTTTAAACCACAAAACCGGACCAGACCGGATCGGAAAAACTGGAACCGGGTCGAACCAGAATGATATCCGGTCCGATTCGGTACGGTCCGGTTCACACCCCTAATAATAATAATAATAATAATAATAATAATAATAATAATAATTAGGGGTGTGCACTAGCCGGTTTAAACCGGAAAACCGGAACCGGATCAAACCGGAATGATATCCGGCCCGGTTCGGTCCGGTCCGGTCCGGTTTTGAACCGGTGCACACCCCTAATAATAATAATAATAATAATAATAATAATAATAATAATAATAATAATAATAATAATAATAATAATAATTAGGGGTGTGCACTCTCCGGTTGAAACCGGAAAACTGGACCGAACCGGACCGGAAAAACCGAAACCGGATCGAACCGGAATGATCTCCGGTCTGGTTCGATACAGTCCGGTTTTGAACC